TCATTTTAATTTTGTTATATAAGTCAAGTCGCATGCTATATAATATTTATAACAATTTTTCCCTTGATGTTTGAGCAAAGTGACTCTTTAACATTGGCCCAATTTCCCTTTTTCTTTTTCTACTTGCTCTCTCTCTCTCTCTCTCTCTCTCTCTCTGTTTTTTTTAATTGACCTAATAACCATATCCCTAAGGAAATATGACTATAGTTATCGGTAATGTTAGCGGAAACTATCTTATAAGAGCTCGATTGTAATAAAAAGTGAAAAGTTGAGGACAAATGTTGGAGTCATTTAGAAATTGTGCAATATATTGTAGAGTGTACTGGAGTCATAGATCACATATAGAAATTAAACTTAAATATAAAGGAACTGAACTGAAAAACTAACAAAAAACGGAAAAGAAAAAAGCAAAATTCCTCCCCCAAACGCTCGCCTGCACCGTGTAATTTTTCTTAATTTATATGTTCTAACTTATTAAATCAACAATACTAAATTGAAGAATTTTAGATACGATTTAATTTAATTATAATACTAAATTTAGACTGGATTGGCTGGTTCAGCTAGAAAGTTACCTATTATCGAACCGTTCAAATTGTATAATCTTTTGACTTGGAAGTTTTATTTTACATGATTTTCTGTTTGAAAAATAATTTTTTTTTATATAGAGCCATAATATGTTGGTCGTGTTATAAATTTGTTCAAAGGGAGAATTGGACATAGAATGTACATTGGAAAAAGAAAAAACTGATGTGGAATCGAAACGAGGAGAAAATTGGACACATGGGATATTAAGCCGCTGCGAACGCATGGACTTAAACTATGTGGGCGCCTCGGCCTTGCTGGCTTCTGCAAACTTGAAACATTAAGGCTGGTTTCCAGCTTTGATTCTTGATGTCTTTTCATGTAAAAATTCAATTTTTCATGAATGGTTGGCACTATTTCGTGAGGTGTGAATTGAAAACTATAAATATATGATAGATTTCAAAATGCCTTTATTCCATTCATTCTCACATTCAAACTTTAGTGTTCTTCGAGTTCTTGGAAGAAAATGCTAGTACTTAAGTATCTTTCTTCTTAGAGGCTTGTTTAAATCCTACAAACCATTTGCCGATGTATCCCTTTAAGCACTCAAATAATCCTAAAGGGAGCAAATATCGTTTGAGGACAACGATCTCGTGTTCAAACCTATCTTTTGATTACTGTGTTCTAGCTGCTATATTTTTGTTCTCTTCTCCCAATCTTCTGAAGTTTTGTCCGACAGGTTTAACTAGTGACCTCTCAATCCAGTGCTTTGTCCTGGTCAATACCTTGGCTAAGTCTGAAAACTATCAGTGCAACTAGCTAGATTTACATGTGTAGATGCATATGGTTGTAAAGTTCCCTTCCCTACTATTTAAAAAACAAAAATTATCACAGCAGTATCAAGCTGCAAATTTTCAAAATATAATTCTTTTTTAGTCTTAAAGTTCACATTGGCACAACAGAGGATGAGATTGTTAAGCCAAATAAAAGGTGACAGAAAGGCAGGACTTAAGAAATTCTCTCCTCTTCAGCCTAAAATAATTTATTCTAGTAATAATGACAGTCCTTTGATGTTTTGAACTCTATGCATACCTCTCTTTCTTGTCAAGGTAGATAATGTAGGTGTTATGCCCTAGGTCCAA